GTTGCAGATCAAGTGAAAGACCATATCTCCGAGTCCCCTCCAAAAAAGCATAAATCTAACGGATTATTAACTTACAATGCTGAAACGTCCGTACATTTGCCTAAGGATCTTGGAAGGCCCTGTTCTAAACGTTTGGCTTCCAGTTTTGGATCAGCAAATTATGTTTCCAGGCCAAGCAAAAGTAACATCTCCCCTTCCACCAGTATGGCGGCCTTCGCAGCAGCAGCAAGATCTGGACATCATCAATTGACTGCTTGGGCGCTCTTAGCAGGAGGCCTTGATCCCTCAAGGCTTCAGGCTGATCATGACGCCTTCATTAAGGCTTTTGCTATCCCTACCCATTTATACAGGTACCTTGCCGAGTGCCACAGGAAGCGTCCTCTTATGCTACACCGAAATCTCAGTTATATGAGGCCCCCTCATACTGATTGCTCATTGCCCATCAAAGTCCCTGGAGATGGTTCTACCAGGAAAAAAGGTATCAACTGGCCCTGATTACTCGCTGATTTCGTATTTACTATTTACATGCATGCAATCTTATTCGCATATGCTTGTCTTTAATCTGGACATCTTTTGTTTTAGCCTCTTTAAGCGATATTATTGAACGCCTTACTTCTTCTGCTCAGCCCCAGGTGTCTTTCGCTTTATCGGATAATTGGCCAACTGGCTCTAAGTCTGTAACCGGTGAGTCGGTACTTGGCGAGTTTATTCGAACAGGACCATCCACCCGTCTGCCAAAGTCGACATGCTCGACCAAAGACTCGTTTAAAGAGTCTATGAACCTTCAAGATATACTTCACCAGAACATTGGACAAGTCCCTCACATCCTTTCTTCTGGTTTTCAACATTGGAGAGTTGAGATATGTTTCGAAGGCTTTTTTGATTCTGAAAAAGAAGCAGAATGGGTTACTGTAGAGGTACTTATATTATTTGAATTTAGAATTAATGCATCCATCCAACCCTCAAGCTATAATTTGAATATTGCTTCGTTAGTGGATATGTAAATAAGTTTGTTTACCAGTTGTTTATACATAGGAATTCCGTTAACCTGTATACGGTTGTAGATTTTATACGTAATAAAAATAAAAGTTTGCCTGAACAGCAAATTTACTCTATTTTTCTCCGATAATTTACTTTCCTTATTTTTTTCACTAATTTACATACCTATCCCTTTTAGAATATATTTTGTATCTAGACAAGAATGTGTGCGATAGATCCCTTGGCGTGTCTATGCCATGTTTGCTAGGCCAA